AGCTAGATGGCTGCTTGTTTATCTTCAAGCCTTTAAGACCCCAGATGATATATCTTTTGATAGCCGGGCACCATCAGCTTTCTTCACAACATTTGCTTATGCACCTATTTTGACTTTAGCAATCATGTTGGGAAGATGAACATTACAGAATGCTGGATTGTTAGGACAAAGTGTTCTTTTGTTAAGGGAGTACTTGAATTGAGGCCCAATGTCCATCTACAACCTTAATTCTTAACATATAGATGAGTACATAGTTCTATTCCCCTCTCATTATATATGTATATTTACATATGTACATGCCTGTATTTAGACCCCTATAAATGGCCTTTGCCTCTTGTTCTTTCCTCTATTTCCTTTTTACTTCCCTCTTGTCCCACCGTCATATTTGGCCTTCATTCGGGTTTAATAATTCCTCATTGCTACGTTGCCCTTGATTGAGCCCCACCAGGCATCCAAGGACCTTGTGTCCATTGATTTTAGTTCACTTGTTGTTGTCCCTGGGTTGGTCCCCTTCCTCCTTCCTATCTTCCACCTCCCCTTCTTCCATATCCCCCCCACCCCCAACAACTGATCTCGTTCTTTTCATCTCTGAATTATTTATCCTGCCTATATTATCTAGATAGACACGCAGATGCATCATTAAGTGCAAAAACCAGGCAAATCCAAGTAAAACAACAAAGGAAGTCAAAACCAACAAAACAGTAACAGCAGAAAGCAAGAACAAAAAGAAAGCCACTGACAACAATGGAAAAGTCTATAAATTGTTCAGTCTGTTTGTTGGAATGCCACTTTTTAATGTCTGAGGGTAAGACCGTTCTCATTCCTGGTTAGAAGAATCCTGCAAGTTGATTTTGCCGCTCACTGTTAATCAGATGGTTGTTAGGGGCCATCGTGTCGCTGCCCTTTCATAGCGACGTGATGTACAAGAGAGCTCAATCACTGGCTGGTCCTGCACCAGCCTCACAATTTGTTCTTCTGTTTGAGCCTTCGGCAAACCTAGTGCTTAGAATTTAAGCTCCATTACGTCACGTGGGAGATAGAAACACAGCTTCGCAGATTCTAGCCCAGATCGAACGAATCAGAACGCCCATTTGAGCATCCTGCAAGGTAATTGCAAGCACCCCACCGTTTGGCGATCCCTGCCTTCACACGCACAGGACGTTAGAGCCAAACATTTGTTGCAATCCCCGGGGGGTGCCGCGGCTACACCGGTAGGTGTAGGAATGGTAGGAATCCTCTGGTTTCTTCGCGGTTGAGCCACCGCGGTTCCAGACCTGCCCCAAACTCGCAGGGCCGGC